TAATTTGAAGAGATTAAGAAAGTAGTTAAGTTAGTTATTTGTAATAAATAAGTGTTGTTTTTCCTAAAATATCCTTACTAATCAAGTGTATTGGCTATAACTATTATTGTTAGAAGGACTATCTTGAAAAAAATAGATAAATATGAGAGACAAAGTGAATTGGGTCTTATATTTAGGATCAAAATAAAAGTAAAATAAGGTCTTATATTAAGGACCGGAGGTAGTAATTTAATATTCATTTTAATCTAAATATAAGATTCTCAATCTATTTTGCCTCTCATATTTATCTATTTTTTCTAAGATAGTTTTTGTAATAGTTGCATATATTAAATGTTTCATCAAATAATAATTTTAGCTAATATACATTATTAGTAAGGATATTTTAGAAAAAAAACAACACCTATTATTACAAATAACTAATTTAACTAATTTTTTTAATCTACTTAAATTACCTAACTAGCTCTTATATTAAGAATTAGAGATAGTAATCTACAAGCTTTCAATAATATTTAAAAGAAAAAAAAAAGAAAAAGGGAGACTTTGATGCGATCATGCTTAAGATAGGTCTGATAAAGGCCAAAAATGAAAAAAGAAACTATAAACAAATATAAAGGACATGCTAGAAAATTGTTTTATATGTTACAATTTTAAATTGATTTTACGTACATATAATGTATTTTTTTTAAAATGAATGAGAAAATTAACATGATTACATGTTTATACCTATGTTGGCCAAAAATGTTTTATACTTATATGTACAATTATAGTTAAAATTTATAATCATATAAATTAAGGCTAAAATAATTTTAGTCCTTTAGGTTTATATTAGGTTTCATTTTTGTGCCTTAAGATTATTAACAGAAAAAGCTGACTGACCAAATTTAAGTGGTTACTGTGTAATGCTAACGAAGAAAGCTCATATTTTAATTTTTTAATATGATATTTTTATATATTAAAAGACCAAAATATAACTGATAGACCATTATGCCCTTGTATAAAAGAATCAGCCACATATGTCTGCCCTCCGTCTTTAGTTTTTCGTATTTCTTTGTTTCCTTATCAAACAGATGACACAGAACACCATTTGGCATCCACCAACTCCAACGGTGCTTATACGAAAAACCTCCTTGTCTGGTCTATCCATCTCAGGAAAAACTCCTCTCAGATTTCTGCTTTTTTTTGCTGTAACTTGCGATTAGTTTCAAGTTTGGACTATTGATTTGAGTTTTTGCTACAATTTTCAGAAAACCCTTCTTGCTGCTTGAAGTCAATGGTGATGACTGACTGATTGGGTGTTGATGTGATTTTGATAAAATCCTCTTTATAGTCACATGCATTGGGGTTGTTTTGTTTGTTTGTTCTGAGCGTCCAGCGTTGCCGCGTTGGTGATGACGGCAGGGTGAACGACGGAGAGGGTGTGGGGATGGAGGAAGCTGTGGACAAGGGCAAAAGGGTCATCTCACTTTTAATATAATTAAAAGATTAAAAATGTTGGGGAAAAAAAAAAAGATTAAAAAAGTAATCATGGCTTGTGAGCATTTATTGTACACTACTTCTCACTTACACTTGCCCACTCAGCATTTTTTTGTTAGTAACATTCACAGTGTTAAGTTTTAAGGATTAAGAATACATTTTATAAACTTAAAGGACTAAAATAAAATGTTATATAAATTTAAATGATTAAAAATATATTTTAGCCTATAAATTAATTTAGTAATTTGCACCAGGTGAAGCTAGATTTATAATTCTTTTTAGTAAATGGACGAAATATTATTAATAAATAAAAGATTAATAGACAAGATTCCTATTTATTACTTTTTTTCCATTTCCATTCCAGCACAAATAGGACTATATAATAAGGATGCATGGAATAATGTTTCTATATTTACGGCAGCATGCAAGTGAACAGTGACTGAATAATCAAGTTTGGAGATCTTCTAGAATCTTTTTTTTTTTAATTTCTCTTTTGACCGAAATATCTAGAATCCTCATTATATTTTAGAAAGTTTTAGGTAAGTTTTAAGGGATATTAGCTAAGAAATTGAAGGTCTCTATGTGAATACAAAGTGTAATTTTCTTGTCCCAATTTATCTTTCACAAAGTGTAATTCTCTTGTCTCAATTTATCTTTTTTCCTTCATTCAAAATAGAAATGAAAATCTATAGAATATCAAAAGGATATAAATTAACACCGTCAAGGTTAACTCTAATATGTAACCTTTTAAACAAAAGTACTCATCCGGTCCTTAATATAGGATCCAATTATTGAGTTGGTTTTGGTTCTAAATATAAGACCCATTTATCATATTTATCAATTTTCTCTAAATTACCCATATAGATACTCCCTCAACCATAATTAAGTAGAAGAGAAAGATATGGTATTAAGAAAGATAATTATAGTATTTTAGGAAAAACATGTCATATTTCTTATAATTAACTAACTTACCTAACTTCTTTAATCTAATCAAATTAGTTAAATGGGTATTATATTAAGGATCGGAGGAGTATTAGTTTGCTTCCTTAATTTTCTGAAGTATCTTTTGCAATCTATTAACATTATCGTTAGCATGAAATGATGATTTTTTGTACTAGTTATTATTTTAGAAATTAAATTTAATAGGTCAGATTGAAATAAAACTAATTAAGGACTCAAGATAAAACCTTTTGCCTAAGCTGTTATAATTAGAAAGTTGAAACGCGAAATGAAATATATGTTAAATTGTCTAAATTTGATTAACATGTAATATAATATACTTCTCCAGTCCTAAATATAAAACCCATTTTATAGTATAAATTACACTCTAAATATAAGACCCATATTGTAATATAAATTATGCTATAAAATGGGTTTTTATATTTAGAACCAGAAGAAGTATTATTTATAAATTATGAATTACAAGGCCATATGGATTGCGTAGGTTGACATGAATTATGATTCATGAACTTCACCTCATGAGAAATCATAGGATGCTTTAGCTATTTTGAGGATAAAAATTTTATTTTTAATTAATGAAGGTATATAATCAAACATTTAGTGCTCCATACTATCTTGAACAAAGTTGCTTTTCATAGGAGGATACCTATGCTTATAAAAAAAGTTATATGATTGAAAAAATGTTTATCAAAATATCATATATTAATATTTAAATTATATAAATCCAATATCGTAGTATTCTAGAAAAGTGATGTGTTTGAATGATCAATAACTATAGTGAGAAAGAAGAACAGATTGTATGCCATGATAATATGGACAAAATGGGAAGTTCTGAGTCCACATTTGTGTGCTAATTTTAGTTTGAAAAAGCAGAGAGTGCCTCAAAGTCATCTAATTAAAGAAGAGCAAGCTCATGCAATGACTAAATTAAAAAGGTTAAAGCAATCTAAAATCATACTTAACCTGGCTGCTTCAATATGAATGGAATATGCTTTTAAAATCATCTTTTTTCAGAAAATTTCGCTCATCTTATCAAATTAGGACGTGTTTAGATTATTGTTAGTAAAAGTGTTTAACTGAAATTGAAAGTCATCAGTTATTATAATGTAATTCACTTTTAGATAATCTTTTATTTTAAAAAATTAGTTTGATAGAAAATTGTTTGGAAGATATATTGAGAAATAAATTTTAAAATGTTCAAATTTAAAGAAAAGCCAGAAGTCAAAAATCAAAAATCAGAAAAAAGAATTACTTCAATTTTAAATCAATTATACAAAAGTCATGCCAAACAATCGTTTTTTTTTTTTTTGGGTTCCATCCAACGTGCTATTTTGTTCTAATTGGCTTTTGAAACTTTTTGACCTGGTTACCAATTAGCTAGCAAAGGTAGTGGTAAAAGTTTTTGCCGTAGCAAATATATTATTATTCTTGTTTTTATGGTTAGAGTTGTTAGGAGTTGATACAATGTGATTTATTGATTCCACTTTATATGTTTTTCATATGAATCACGCAAGGCACTACAGTGCATTTTGTCGACCATGTGATGAATAAACTGAAGCAAATTAAAGAAATTAATCAATGGTTGAGTATTATTCATATCTAAAACATTTGATTTTTTTGTTTTGTTTGCGTGGTTCATGTTATTCTTCTGCTAGGGTGGTTCTTTGTAAAAACGTTGAGAATTTCAGTAAAAAGTGGACACAAAATAAAAAATTATTAATAATTATAGTGTAGTAAAATAATAACATAAAATATGAATCATCTTCTAGTCTTTTTTTTAAAACAAAATTTGTGATAATTTTTTTGGCATGTTGCTGACCAACCATTCCCTGTTTTACATATCTCACTCTATATATAAACAGTCATCATTACCGACTGGAATTGTAAATGGTTGAAAGATGAAAAAAGTGGCCCTGATTTCTTTTTTAATATGAATTTTAGTTCCAGTTATAAAGAGTTTTTCTCATTCACAAGATTATTTGTTTATTTTATTATTTTTCAATTTCATTACGTTTTATGTATCAGACATGAAAGGCAACCACTTGGAGGTCTCTGATATCATGTTAAAGATTATTGTACTGCATTCTGCTTATGCTGCGCTGAATATTCAAAGATATGGAAACTCAAAGTTCCCACAAGAGGAATTATGGAAGAGAGGCACTAGAATTGCTCCACCAGGCCAATTTAATTGTTTCTCACATTTTTCCATTTCTGATTAAAAATTGCGATAAGTCAAATCTTAAGAACTTACAACAAACTTTATAACTCAAAATGCACTTATAAAAACTATTTGAGTTGCCCATTAACGAAGTCCCCTTTTTTTTTTTTTGGCCAAGAAACTAAGTCTTAATATTAACAAGGTGACTTGAGCCCGTCTTGTCTAACTGGATTAACCTATGTTGAATCATTATCTTTCTTTTCACAGTATGGTTGGGAAAAATCAAGTTGTCCATGGAATATGTCTAGAATCATATAAAATAAATTTGTAATCAATTTTTTTATGCATGCAACTATGGAAGCAGAGCAAAAGCTGGGAAGTCAAAGCAGAGGAAAGCCTTCAAGTCAAATGAATAAAATAAACCACAAATGGCTTAAATGGGATCAAAACCGTTCACATCAACCTATTCAAGCTCTTCCCTAGTTTGAAGGATGAGTGAAACAGAGCAAAATTTATGCCGGTCTAAGAGCAACTAATCTATCTATCTCATGAAGATAAGCTTTTTTGCCACTTCTCTGCATGATCTCTAGCTCATGCAGATACATGCGCTCTTGCCACATTCATTTCCTGTCATTTTCTTCCTCAGAAGGGCCTGAAGTAAATCTGTTCATGAGCTGTGTCAGTTCATTTTCAAACTCCTTCTCGAGCTCGAGCTCTTCCTGCCACAGCTTCTTCCTGAGAGCCAACTTTTTCTCTCCATGAATCTTTACCAATTTATCTCTCTCAGCCTCAAATTCCCTCATCTCATTGTCTTGGAGCCTTATGAAACTGGACAATCTCTCCACACTGTTGATTGAAGATAATGGAGGACACTAGGAATCATTAGCTAAGTTCACTAGATCAAGAATTGGATATTGTTTACCAACCAAGTCAAAAGAGTGTTTGCCTATGTGACCAAACGACAAAATCTATTTTATATAATCAAAAAGTAACAATATAAATCATATACATTTTAATTGTTTTTGTTTTGCATTATGGTTGTGAGCGTCTTTGAACATTGTCCAAAATAAAGTTCCTTGCAGGATGATCTTAAGGATGCATGGCTCCCTTTCATATCTCCAAAATGTTATATTCTCTGGGAGAAGCTTATATTGAACATGGGAGTTCTTACCTTTGCTTGTGGTCCTCATTCTCAGGAAAACCTCCACAACATTGTTTTACTTTTTCTCGCTTGTCCTGCTGAAATTTCTCAAAGTTATCTTCCTTTGCATCTATAGTTTGTTGAATGATCTGAATTTGTTCAAGGAAGAACTGTTCTTGTGCATCCATCTATAAGAGAATATATTATGGCCATCAGTCATATGCAATATGGATTTATTGCATCGTCATTCTGAAGGATCTACCACTAACAAATAAAAAAGAGAATTGAAATGCCATGCCCTTTTACTAACAGCACATTTGGTAAATTACTTTGAACGCTTCCATCATAATTTTTAATATATGACATGTGACGGAAATTCCTTGAAAAACCCATTCATGTGGTAATTTGTTAAAAAAGAGGAAAAATTCACTTCTGATTTTCTCGTTGATGGAACTGAAAACAAATATTTTCACAAAAAAAAAAATGACAAATACCTAAAAGCTGTAGTTAAGTTTTCTACTTCACTTAGTATTGAATAACATTAAATTCATGTTAAGTTCAGGTGCTGATAAAAAAGTAGTGGTACATCTAGAAATCTAGCTCAAGAGGAGGAAAAATAATAAGCATTTGAGTCTTTAAGAAAAATACATTATGGCCTCTATAGAGAGTGTTTCCACAGAATTTTGCTAATCTGGGGATAAAGAAATTGTAAACGCATGGCATTCCATCAGAAGAAACATCAAATCCAAAAAAAATATCAAGTGAGAAACGCCCAAGAAGCCCCAAGAAACAAAAATGATAAAACCATAAACAGATTAAATGAATAGCAATACTAAGTATATACTCCTCCAATCTTAAATATAAGACCTTTATACACACTACAAAAAGAGTCATATATTTAGGACAGGAGTAGTAATTTACAGGCTTCTATGAGCCACTTCAAAAGCGTAACCGTCATTTACCAGCATAAATAGGTGCCACGAAACATCCTGACCAATCTCTGTGTAACGCTTTGCATTATATTAGAACCACCAAAGCGTTTCCATAGACAAGATAAGCAGCATTCTATGGCCATGAGTAGTCTAATTTTAGTTGCAGAACATTATATTACCTCTTCCTTGTTCTCGTCTTGCTGTATTTTAGTACGTTGTCGTACAACACGGTTTTCTTGTAAGGTCCGGCGTAACTTCTCACTGATTTGACACAAAGAGGCTTCAAGGACTTGTGATTTGATTTGCTCTTTAGTTGCCTTTCTCTTGAAATAGTCAACCTGCTGTGCATCATCATTGATTTGCTTTATCTTGCTCTCAATCATCTCTTGGTATGACCTCATTTCAAACTTCAGTTTTGACTTCCCTAAAAAGTGTAGATTTACTAGTAACATGCATTCAAAATTTTAAAGAGGAAAGAGATCGAGAAAAAGCAATCATGGGTATAACAAGAACAATATAAAGCATCTCTATCAAATTGAAAGAGGTATATAGAATTTTCATGTTCATGATTATAATAAATGTCAAGATAAGATGAATGAATTGATATATAAGATAGAAAGAGACTGATTATAGGAGAGGGGAAAAAACCTGCATGGTGCCTGTTGAAAACATTTATATCTTCCATAGAAGCCAAGTAACCATATAGCTGGCGCTTTCCCCCTGGGACAAATGGATTCTGACATTGAGTCCAACCCTCCCTATCTCTTCCCTGCTCTTTAAAATGCTTATGAAGACGCACAGCTTCCAAATAACCTGCTATTGAAGGCTCAAAAATCAAAACACTCAAGCCTCGGTGCCCTTGTGGGCCGTATGAATGACGAGCCTTCAATGCAGCATACTCGCTGAAGCAATCAAGAAGCTCTTGATTCCCCATTCCAATCCACTACAATTCATTTCAATAGGGTGAATTGACAGATGAAATAGCAGCGTTTTAAATAATAGGACAAAAGAGCTCTTGCAGAACATTGAAAATCGGTAACTAAACCTGGTAGCTTATATATGATTAAAAATAAAAGAAGTAAATTAAGACTACACGCTCCTTTTCCAATTAGCAAACAAACCGATATGCTTGTACCTTCTTGTTTTCATCCTGCTCATATCTTGTATTCATGACGACCACCATTGGGGGCCAAACTATTTCATGATCTTTGACCTGCTTATCTAGACCTTCCCACCTGCCATAGACTCACCATCCATTGTTACTGGAGCTTTCGACTCAGCAACTCCCCCTCCAAAGTTTCAGCAAACAGTCGGTGCAGTCTTACCCTCCTAGCTTTTATTGTCTTGGCATGTTTCATTAGGGGCTGTAGCCCTTGGTACCAATCAATAGCACCAATACCCCCTTGGCATGCAGGGCAATGCCATTCCCTTGAATGTGAATTTATATTCTCATTGGTCAGGCCACCTAAGTCATCAAAGAATGCCCTGAACCACTTGCTCTTCTTGCGTTCTTCATGGCTTTCATCATCAGCATCATCAAGACAAATATCATCATCACTATCAAACATGATATCAGAATCATTGTCACCCACTTCATCATTATTTCCATATTCAACAGCATTGTGGGGTTTTGGGTTAGCCTGCTGGCTTTTGCCTTCAGTCTCTCCCGATTCACCATTTCCCCATTTTCCAAGCTTGTAAATTACATTTGGATGTCCCCAAACATTGGAACTAGGATTTTGAGGATAACAAGCTCTTGGACCACTATCACCAGCCAAGTTCGTGGACTGTCTTGAGTTCACCCGAGAATCACCAGTCCGTGAAGAATTCGTTTTGATTTTGGCTAAATTCTGGCTCATGTGATTGATCTTGGAACCTGAAACTCTGTAAACACTTCCCAACATTGGAAATGAATCGGTATCCTCAGCCATGATACCAGTTTCACAACCTATTCCGGGGATGCCAATACTGTTATTCCAGAGTCCGACTACCAATCAAATGATTTGATGTTATGAGAAACAAATTCCAGAGATTTCAAGATAACATCTTTTCGTTGGTCAAAAAGAAAAACAAGAACAAATAATGCCATTTCTTTTTTTCTTTATTTTTTTGGTGGAAATGCCTTTTCTTTGTACCATTGTTAACATCTTTTTTTTTTTTTTTTACCTTAACAGAAGAGCAAATTCAGAAAGGGAAAATTTCTTCAAAGAGTTCTACCACTCAAGAAATTGAGCTCTTAACTCCGGATTTTTGTTTGGTATTGTATCATTGTCTGTATCTTTCTAAGGATAAAATTGAAACCACACCAAACTTTGTGAGCATCGAAGTGATATGAACAATCTTTGATGATCAGATTGACATTAAGACACTTTTTTTATTATAATGTTAGAACCCCATGGTCATTTAATGGGGAAAAAGAACTTATATCTTGAGACCGCAGAACTAGAACAACGAAAAAACACGGACAGCCTCCACAACAGGAAGCAGTGGAAGATATCAGAAGAGAATTTTGTACAGGCAAGTTGAAGTGAAAACGGAAGAAAAAAATGGCGATTAATAATACTAACGCATCGATTCGAGATCATCAACCAGCAAAGCAATGCAAAAATTGAAGCCATTTCGAAGCGTTGCATGCAATGCGATCATATATAATACGATCATTGCGAAAAGTAAGAGAGGATCAGAAAGACGAAGAATAAGAGGCTGGAAACGCAGATGTAGTACCTGATGACACCAACCCAATTGGTGACCACAAGCTGCGTAAGGGCAGTGAAATAGAAGAAAGGATCGTGATTGATAAACGTGAAAGATTCGAGCGTGAAATAGCTGAGCTAGAGACTATAATACACGCGCCCTCGTACCGAGTAGCTTTCTATTTTCTGCAGGTCTCAGAAGTCGGTAATTTTTATTAATACATATAACGATCCATTATATTCATATAAACTGAATATATATATATATATATACACACACACACACACACTATAGAGAGAGAATGACTAGTTATCTATTTTCGCATTGATACAACTAAAATAGCTTATTTATGTTATAAAGTACTATCTCCGGTCCTAATTATAAGAGCCAGCTGACTAATTTCATGAAATTAAGGAAGTAAGTTGGTTAGTTATTTGTCCTACATAGGTGTTGTCTTTCCTAAAATATCCTTACTAATCAAGTGTATTGACTAGAACTATCATTTTTAGAAGAGGTTCTTTGGAAAAAAAAATGTATAAATATAAGAGACCAAGTGGATTGTAGTCTTATATTTATGATCAAAATAAAAATCAAACAGTGTCTTATATTAAGAACTGGAAGTAGTATTAAATGGATGGCAAAAAAACTTTTAAATGAGTATATTTTCTGCCTCTTTTTCCTTTTCATTTTTCTTTTTCTTGTTTTCCTTTTTATATAGGATTTATTTCCTTAACTTTTTATATTATAACATATAATATATTATCTCTGGTCTTAATTATAAGACTTTATTCATAGCTTATAAACGATATCTCATAATTAGGATAAAAGATAATAACATAATTAGTAATTGATTCAACAAATTAGCAATTACATAATAATGGTTTGAGATATGAGCATGTCTAACGTGAAGTTGATGGAGCTATCTAGCTTGCTAGATCAGCATGTCAAATACAAGCCTAATCCATGTGTTTGGACCAACTGGTAGAATAAATGTTGAATAAAATTAATTTATAGTTATGGTTTTGAGCATAAATTTGCCCGTCAAAATCAATTAATTCATGAAATAAATTATGAACTCAAAATCATAGTTATTTCATAAGCTAACAAATAATTCTAGATACATGCCTAAAACAAATATGAACTTAAATTCCTAGTTATATCATAAGTTACCAAACACTTCTATAAATGTGAAAATTAAAAAAATAACACTAATTATTAAAAAAAATAATGTTAACTGTTAATATTTTTAAAATTTTTGAGATGGTATTAAATTGAAAAAATTTTAAATAGCCAATACTTCCTCTGTTCTTTTTTATAAGTAATTTCATACCCCATTATATAGACCAAAAAAATTAGTTAAAGATAACAAAAATTAAAAATTAAAAAAAAAATTTCAAAATATTCTTACTTATGGGGAGAGAGATAATATAAGAAAGAAAATAAAAATTGATATAACAAAGAGAATTATGAAAAAAAAAAGAACAATGTGATGAATAGAAATAATGGTTGAAGAAATAAAATAATAAATATATTAAGTATTAAAATAAATAATTAATAAGGACAAAATAAAAAATTTGTTACTAAAATTTAAAACAATTTGTAAATATTATTTATATTCATAAACAAGAAGAGATCATAGTTGTTGTTTATTAAAAAAAAAACAGAGAGAGTATTTCCAAACAATTTAATTTTATTAAAAATAAAAACACTATAAACAAAAAACAAAACAAAACAAAAAGAGATACATGAGCGCGATGAGCAGCCTCCCTCCATGTGAAGCTAGGGCCTTTCGCTTAGAGTATGTTTGGTACGAGAGATTTGGAAAGGAGAAGAAGGAAAAAGGATTTTAATTATTTTTTTTTATTCGGCAACATATAAATTTTAGAAAATGAGAGAAAATTTTAAAAAAAAATTTCTTCCATCCCCTTCAAAATTAGGAGTATTTGGAAAGAAAGAGTAATATTTTATCATACTGTGACCATTATATTCATATTTTGTCACATTGTGATCATTATACTCATATTTTAAATAAAATAAGGGTAAAAGTATTCATGTTAAAAAAAATTTCTTTTTCTCTTCTTATGAATCAAACAAGATAATATTCAAACTCTTTTTTTTAAAAAAAAATCCAAACAAGATAATATTCAATCGTTTCACTCTCCTTTCCCCTCTCTGCTTTTATTTAGCCAAACAGACCCTTAAATTGACGCTTCAACGATCCCACACCAAATTCCTTCCTTCCGTTTCGCTCTCCCCTGCTACTACACGCCTTGCACACTCTCTCTCCTCCCCTCCCTCCATTTTCGCTGATCCAATCTCACTCCCCCTTTCTCTATCCTGCATTTGTCGGCATGGATTTAGCATTTGAAAGACGAAGATCTCTCTTGCGTGGCCTATTACTTGTCTTTGTAGCTTCCGTTCTTCTTGTTACCTCCAATGCTTCAATTCACATCTACGATAAGGAGCCCTTCAAAGAAGTGGGCAATGCTTACCTTCTCTCCGGTGGCAGTGAAGGTATAGTAGCTTCTCTCAATGCTGCTCCTCCGACGGGCATGTCGTCGATCAACGATGGCCATTCTTACATTCGGTAATCTCTAAATCTGGATTCCTTCCTACTCTCTGATTGTGATTTGGATTTGTCAAAATATACCCTCTTCTCTCCACAAAAGCTTAAGCTGCTAAGCGTCAAGATTGGGTGCCAAGGACTAAACTTCGAATAATTTGTCATAAAGGCTCTCACAGTATTAATAGACGGTTTTAACTCAAAATCTTTAACTGCGAAGGGGTTATGCATAATTTCATTATAATCTTGGAGGTTCGGATTGAAAACTGAAGGGTAGTATTGAACTAAAAGGATATTTTCTAAGTGGCACACTTTTGTTCGTTGCTTGACTTTGGCTTAATTATTATGGCTGGGGAAGGGAAATGGAAAACAGGGTGTTATGCAGTTTTTCCTAAAGCTTTCTTTCGTGATTTAAGTGATTCATTGTATCTAAAACTGATACATAGGTGAAGCTGCCAGGCTTGTTCCAATTTATAAAACTTTCTCTTTGCTTAATTTTGAAGGCTACAAGATGGGACTTACAAAATGAACTAAATGAAACCGATTCCTGCGCTTGAGCATAATTCACGAAAAAGTAGGGACAGAAGGAAACTACTGAAATGGGTCGATGGAGGTAGTTAATGGTTGAAATTTTTTTTTGGGGGGGGGGGGGGGGGAGAGCAATTGCTTTTAAACTTATTTTGGAGACGTATTTTCCTCACATTGTTCCATAAGAAACTATACGCAGTGTTGGGGGTGGAGCTGAATAGAGGATTAGGACAAAACCCTCGTACTTCTTTTATTTCATTCTGTTCTAATAATTAAGTCTGCTATAATTTACCAAGATGGGAGGTGCTATCATGCAACTTAGGTCAACTTTTTGAATCATTATGAAGAACTGAGAAAGACGTGTATGTTGACAAAACTGATATTAATATATCAATAACACTGATGTAACATGTACTATTCTTGGAACCACTGCGATTGGGTTTATTTTTATTTTTTTACCTCTTTGAATTTGGCAACAAACATAAGTGGAAACACTAACTTGTTATTTTGGAAACAGATTTGAGAATATCACCTTTAGGAGAAGTAAGACTGCTGCCAAACGTATGAAGCATAGTACTGGGTTGGTACAGATTATAATTTTTGAAGCAGCTGATCGTAATGATATTGGTGGTTCTGCATATGGTGGACAACGGGCCATATGTTGCACCCCTGATTTAGCTAAGATGGAAGGCTGCAAGCAAGGGGAAGTTATCAGGAGACCTTCTGCAACAGACATTAATTGGCCTGTCATTTTAAATGTACATTTCAGTGGAAAAATCTTAACAACAAGTCTAGATTTTAATGAAGTTCCCATCACGAAGACTGGAATGTATAATTTGTTTTTTGTAGCATGCAACCCAAAGCTCAAGGACATGGTAATGAGTGGGAAGACAATCTGGAAAAACCCTGATGGGTTCTTACCTGGTAGGATGGCCCCTTTAAAGAAGTTCTATGTATTCATGACACTTGCTTACATGTGCCTTAGCCTTGCTTGGTTTCTTCAGTACGCAAGGTTTTGGGATGACATACTGCTGCTTCAGCACTGTATCTCAGCTGTCATTGCTCTTGGTTTATTTGAGATGGTTTTTTGGTATTTTGAGTATGTGAATTTCAATAATTCTGGAATGCGACCTGTTGTACTCACAACGTGGGTTGTCACCATTGGAGCCATAAGAAAAACAATATCACGGCTTCTTATTCTCATTGTTTCAATGGGCTATGGTGTTGTGCGGCCCACTCTTGGTGGCCTTACCTCAAAGGTTCTGTTACTTGGAATAACTTACTTCCTAGCATCTGAGTTACTGAATATTGCTGAATATGTGGGGACCATCAATGATGTATCAGGAAGGGCAAGGCTTCTTCTAGTCCTTCCTGATGCTTTCCTGGATGCATTTTTGATATTATGGATTTTCACATCTCTTTCAAGAACTCTGGAACAATTACAGGTACCCTTCCCTCCCATTCATATTATTTTGCAATGTTCTACCTTTAAGATTTGACTCTCTTCTTTTTTGGGTATCATTTTTTAGGCAAAAAGGAGTTCTGTTAAGTTGGATTTATATAGAAAGTTCTCAAATGCATTGACAGTAACAGTGATCTCCTCAGTTGTTTGGATAGGATATGAGGTAAGAGTTTTTATCAGCATATTCTAATCTTACGGAAGAAAATTGACTGTGTAATTAATAATTGACTTTCATGTTTTTGTTTACATATTGCATTATTTCAAAAGAAGACAAGAAAGCAGTCTTATCCTCACTCTGATATGAATTTACCATTACTTTTCATGTTTTATCTTCCTTCCGTAACCTTCACATTCCTGTGGATGAAGGAAAATTCATCTAAAAATTATGATAAACTACAGTCTTGTTTTATTCTCCTGTTTGCTTGATTACAGTAGCATCTAAATAATTTTACAGTTAATTGGCCCCAGATAGCAACTTTAACTGTCTCAGAATTCACACGGGGCATAGTTCTGGTTAGATGCCCTGTCAGTGCTGCCAAATGCATGAGGTGAAAACAGTCTTCTTCTGGGACATACCACCTGGTTTCTGGAAGCCACATTGAACCCTGACTAATTTGGATTGAACTAGGTGGGATCATGACTGACCAGGTTTTGAAAGTTATGTTAAGCCCTAACTAATTTTGATTGAACTAAGTTGGATCTTGTGAGTGTAAAGCTGTTCTCGCAGCAGTTTTCTTTATCCACAAACCTCAAGCTCAAGATTTTGTTTAGGAGAAACAAATGCCGACCCATTTGAACTGATTGCTGTCTGTAGGTGAAAATAGTCTTTTAGCATCATAAAGAATACTCCTTTTTTTGGCGAATACATACTTTATCAAAATGGAAATTGTCTTCGAACATTAATTTAAAAAAAAAAAATAGTCCGCTACGATATTTTGTCTAAGCCCTGTGCCTAATGTGATTGTTCCCAGAAATCCAAAGATTCTGCTTACTTCCTGAAGAACTTATCTGCAGGCCGTATATTGCATTGTATAGTTGCTAGCATTTTGTACCAGCATTGATTATGAAGTTGTTTATAAAACCACCTTTGACTATCTATCACATTTTCATCGGATAATGCACCAGAAAGGTCCACTAACTGCATGGAAGCAGTAAATATCAATATCAAGGGGTCAATAATCATTAGAAACTATCTAATAACCTGGACCTAGTGGAGGAAACCACAAGACTACGCGCACTAGGAGTAACATTGATCAAATGGGGCAAGAATTCAACCAAACCTGACTCAACCAGCAAATCTTGAACATGACAGATTTTCTGTCTCTGAGTGAAGGTATGTTGGACACCTCATATAAGTTAGAAAAGGTAAGCAAGGATTTGAGGGAAAGATATGCCATGACCGGCCATGTAGTTAGCATGGATAGCATGGCATGAGAAAGGTAGGGACTTGTAAGCATTGAAGGACATGCGTTGGCTATTTGTGAGTGTTTCTAGAAGTTTGTTAGGGAATGCTTAAATGTGAAGGAGTGGAGAGCAGAAAGTCATGGGAAAAATTATGGAGTGGATGTGGAGATAGCTAGCATCTCTAAGGCCTGGCACTGCTTTTCTTTCCTGCATGTTTTCATGTCTCCTGTATAGTGGCAACCCTGCCATTGTGGTGATGTGAAACATGAAATGGAGGAGAGAGAGCATGATGTAGAAAGGAGGTGACTGAAATGCTCAATAGCTTTATTTGATAGACAAACGAGAATACAAACGAATAGTTCTGGGGCTTATTTGTACAGCTTTATTCCTAGTCCTAGTTAAACTGCTACAATCCTTATTCAAAATATATCTAAAAGATAATCTAGATAGAATATTCTAATTAAAATAAAATAAAGCATTCTAATTATCTTAGGATGACTGTATTGTCATCTCTATCTCCTTCAATGTGCTATTCTTCTTTAATACTTTTGAAAGAAATATTCTGGGAGTACGTTATGCCTGGTTTTAATTATCTTTGGCATAATAAACACGTCTTTTGATTTTTTATTTGAACTGCCATTACCGTTTGCTGCATTTTAATTCTACAGCTGTACTTCAAAGCCACGGATCCTTTCAATGAGCGGTGGCAGAGTGCTTGGATCATAACTGCTTTCTGGGACATTCTAGCATTTGCATTGCTCTGTGTTATATGCTATCTCTGGGCCCCATCTCAAAGCTCTCAAAGGTTCATTCCTTTTTTCAAATTCTAAGTAGTAATTATGTTCTTTCCTTCCTGCTGTTACCATTGACTGTGTTCTCTATAGAAATGAATCAATGATTTTTAAAATGGATTCGCATAAGTTGGCTACAGAATTTCAGCATATACTTCTCTCCTGCTAAGAAGAAAATATTACATTGTGCTTGGAGAAACTCAAGGCCAAATTCCATGATATTAATGTTTGAATAATGATCAATGGTTACAAGTGAAAAATCGTATGAAAGTTTTTTTTTTCCCCCTTTTTTGGTGACAAGATCAAATGAAAGTTACCGCAGAGAGTATTGTGTTGTATGTCCCAGGCAAGGTTTATATGCTAATTTGTCACTTTTGTGACTTGCCGATCTTGAAATCACTTGAAAAGATGACATTTGGCTTTTTCTTGCTGAAATGCTTTGGCATTTTGTAGTAGTAACTAGTATGACTGGAAAGCATAAAAGTGGCGTGCCTATTCATGTTGGAATTCCTAATTCAAGTGGCCTAAGAGTCTCGTCCATATGCTTTCGTGCTGATATAGGAATTCCTAATTCAAGTGGCCTAAGAGTCTCATCCATATGCTTTTGTGCTGATAGAAACCTTTCTAACCATGCACAGGTATGCATATTCTGAGGAAGTGGGAGATGAATCTGATGACGAAGAAGCTCAATCTCTAACGAAGCAAGAAACCGAACTAAGCTCAGTCAAGCAGGAGAAGAATGCTGGAAATAATGAATCCTTTGATGAAGAAGACGAAGTAGAGGAAGACAAAAGGGAATAACGTCTCTCAACAACTTCACTGTCTTGCCAATTAGGTTGATCTCACATTTGTGCCACGCCACCACACACGAGCCAAAAGGTTTAGTAAAATTATTTCTTGACCTATCGGATTAGAGAGATGGAACAGCTCTGATATGCTTATTTTTTCAGAAGCCTTTCCTTGTAACATTGTGTTTGTAATTAATGCACAGCGTGCAGTCCAAATGGTGATGACCAATACGGTATGCTAGTTCTCCTCACCCTTTAAAGTGTAGAGCAGGGTTAGCGCTTGCCCAGGTTGATGAGATTGAGTTAAACAAGAACAGAGTCAATGAAGGTTGACCAAATTAATTAGATCAGGTTACATCCAGCATTAACACAAAGGGTCTGGTGTTGTGGATCCTTCGTTTGATCCTTTTTTTGTGATATGTTATTATTAGCTACCCTCCAAATTATGGTGAGCCGTTTCTTTCTAAAACTACTATAATAATTCATCTAACTTGTTTCTTTTCTTTCCTGACTACAAGACAAGAATTAATGTTTTATTCTTCACAATTACTTGTTGCTGGGTTATGGGCTTCTAATGAACCTCCTAATGCCCATAGTAATGCTCAGTTTGCAAATGAGGGGGGAAAAATAGACGTCCTAGAAGCATGCAAATTGACCGATTTTATTTTCTTAACATTGCATAATTTGTTCCCGGTAGAGAACCAGTTTTTATCACAGGATATTTTATCTGTAAAAAAATGTTTAATTGTATGACTGGATAACGTTAAGATGTACCGTCTTTTTTCAGCTATCAAACTTTAGTTGAGAAGAGAATGTCTCTTGCTCTTTTGACTTGGTATGCTAACAGGGCAAGAGATATTTAATAGTTTCTTGCATCATTAAGTTCAACACACATCCTAACATTATAATTCCCTTCATGCTAAATTTAAACATTTTTCGAATTAGAACGACAGATAAGGTTACAAATAGAATTAAACTGGTAACCTCGGAAGCGATTTAATTTGCATTTATATATACACACATATATATATTCAAGTATGGAACAAATTATCAAAACAAAAAAAGACCGTAAATGAGAAAGGTTCGGATAGAAATGAAACACGAAATTTATGTTCAGGGTACCATTTTCCCCCATCCACCGTAAAAATAATGTAATTGACTAAAGAATAACTGGGATGTATTGGAAGGAAAAACAGTTCAGTAAAAGATCCAAAATTCATGACCGCAAACAAAACTGAAGCTATATAAAGCATATCTAGCCACTCAACTTTGACAACATTTTCAAGATTACAAAACTGGGGGCTGCGGAAGTGATGGACTAATTCTAGAAATAAGGCCTAGAATACATATATATAGGTTACAGAAACATGCTCACGCCAAAAATCCAGGACGCCAGAAGACCACACAAGTTATGTTGCCACTGAATCGAGAAGCAAACCCATCTCCGCCAACTTGAAATTCTAATTCGTTTCCACGTCTGAATCATCTGGTCCTTGTATGTACAGCTCAAAATCGTCAGGACTACATCTGCATATCAGATGGAGTTTAAATGTAGCCATCTGTATTCCCAGTAAACGCTGCAAAGAAAATCAATCAGATATTAGTTCGCAGAAAACATCTAAAAAAAAAAAATCAAAATTACAATGCCTTATTCTATTATCATTGAAAATCATAATACTCAAATCGTGTAGCTGCTACTTACTCCGGATTGGAGTGGTGCATAGAGGGCAAAGTATATACTTACAACCTAAGTTGCAAATGAATCTATATGCATGAACGTAGGCAATGTTTGACATGCAGAAGTTAGACGATGACAGGGGAAAGAGGAAGGAAATGTGATAGGAAATGACCCTGACCCTACATTTACTCCCAAAAAAAATCCACAAATCAATAAAATCCATCATTGATATAGATATTCCTCATTTACCAGGGAGATGGATATAGAGGGAAAATGATGACAAGACAGTTAGATAAAACCCATTACTAAAGAAGCTATCTGCTCCTATGATGATGACAAAAATACTCAGGTACTAAAACAAGTGAGCTAACCAGTATGCGAGATGCCTCAGGTGACAATGGCTTCCCCTCCTCACAGACAACAAAATCTGAGACAAGTTCCACCACTCCTGCAATTTATAACTTATTGATTATTGGTAAATTCACATTTATGTGCTTTTGAATCATATTTGGAAGGGGGAGGGGAAGAAAACTACTGTGTACCTTTATTTAACCGGACAGGCATGCCTTGCTTCCGTAGAAATGGCTCCATCTCATGGGTGAACTGCTCCAAAGGACCTTCTTTGAGTTCCACCTAAAAAATTTTAATGATTGAATATCATTATATAGACAGATTACATGGACATTCTACACAATCCCATAGCCAAGAAGCCTCTCCATTTCCTATGGAGCACCACCGAAAGAAAAAAAAAATTGCAAGAGCAAGATGTAACCGCTATAACCTTGCCCCTTTGAGCCTATAATCAAATGCTATTCATCAGAATCAAAGTATGAAACTATTAACACAAGTTAACAGATGAATGCAGCACACAAACTAGACTTTCTCATTGACCCAATACAACTGAAACAAATATCTCCAGCCACTTCCCATCGCTAGCCAATACACCTTTAAAATGAAAGCCAAGAGCATGAGAAATAACCTTCTCAGTCGCAGTGCTTCCTGTTCTCGCAAAGTCATACTCCTCAAACTCACTAAATAACCTGCAAAACACAATCAGAAATGTTTAGATTAGTCCAGTTTCTGCCAAAAGGTTGATCAAAGTGGAAAACAAAAACAATACCAGCCTTCACTCAGTCCATTGGCCTGTTCCTTTTCTACTCTTTCTTAGTTTCATGACAATATTGAGAAGAGCGAAAATTACCTTTCAACTTCTTCTTTTGGCAAATTTGTAAAACACATTCCAGCATCTCCTCGCAGAAGCTTAAGTAAAAACCAAGAAAGATCGAATGAAAATAAGTTCACTGAAAGTAAAATACTACCACATGAGAAATAAGCCTATAAATATTGGCTACCTACCTTAGAAACCTTGTGAAGACCAGGTCTAATCTCATCAGCAGCAGAATGACCTAAAGCGACCTGCATGACTTTGTTTGACCCCAAGAAAAACCTGAAAGTTAAATGACAGGTTGCAGTAGAAAAAAAATTAGTAATCATATAATCACCTTTGCATGAGAAGCCCAGATACTTTGTGAAAGCATACAGTTCCCTAAGTTCATGAAGTTTTCCTCAATGGGTGGCTTCACTACAGAATGGAAGTCTAGAACCACTACAGAAGACGCATCTCAAGAGACAGAAATTTTACAATCAACACTAACACGACCTCTATTTTTAGATTATAAATTAAGAACTAGGGAATGATTTTTAGCTCAGCTATCTAACAAACTGATGACGACTCCCAATCAATAAGCACCAAATCCATGGTTAATGGTTTATCTTAGTTTCTACCTTCCAGCAAATGAAAAGAACATGCAGAAATCAATATTACCTGCTGTTAGATTTCAGTTGCTCCCTGAACTCCTTGAATTTCTTATTTCTCATGTTTTCAAAAGAGAACACATACACTGAGCTGTATTTTTCAGCAGCCTCTTTTATGGCATTTACTATTGCTTCTTTATGCTCCCTCCCCTTTTTCTTAGTCTTCGAGAGTGTGACTGCATTTTCACCAACAAACAAACAAATTAGGTAAGACACCATCAATCAGAATATACACCTGTAAACTGCTTGATTTTAAATCTCCATGGTTGCTTTTATAAGAGTGGTTAGACAGTTAATAGTTCTGACTGGTAACTGACAAGTTGAACTCATGACAAGGTAAAAGTGAAAACAAAATACCCTCTCGACCAAGCCACAAAAACGTAGATCGTTGACGTTAGGCTCAGCACCAAATCTAAAGTCGATATTAATGTGAACAATTTAAATTAAACTTGAGATTTCGAGGAAGGACACTTCTAAACTGCAATTTTTGCAGACAAGAGTAAAACAAGTTAATAAACTTCAAATGTTTTTTCCTGCTTCAACCTCATATTCAGACGCAGCCCTTCGGTTCACTAAAAGACGGCTGTTTGCTATAACAGCAATCGAGAAACAAAAGCAGAAATCTTAGCTGAGGTGTAGGCCTCAAGTTTAATCATTCCCACATCTCAATGAACAAAAGAATCAAATTTTACCAATGAAACCAAACAGAAAACTTTTTTAGTAGCGTTAACAAGAATCCAAAATTTCCTCGCCAAACGAATGAACAAAAACATTGAACATAGAAAAATATAAGAAGCTTAACAGAAACAAAACCTGTTTTATTGCGTTTGGACTTCGGCATTTTTTGTTGTGACGATGCCTCCTTTTGGGTTCTCGGCTAGGGCTGGTGTTCTCCGCACTGCAGCCTTAGAACCTAACAAGATGGTTTCTTTTTTTTGTATCGTAAGCTTTGTAGGGTTTTGCAGCCGCGGCTCCCGTCAACAGACAACACCATCGCTTTTAGGTTAATAATAAATAATGAATAATGAATTATAGGGACAATGATTTTAAAAAAAAAAAGTTGGAATTTTGAAAATATCAAATAAAGAATAAAGAATGTCAACAAAAATTTATTATCATTTATAAATTCAGACTTGTTAGTTGTTAATACCAAATAAAGTTGTATTATTAAACCTGATCTGTGACTTATAATTTCCAGTTTCTTTTTCTTTCATTCTCCCTAAATTATAAATTTTACCAGGCATGGCCCAAAAAAAAAAAGGTAAAAGCACACCAAACTACTTTTGAAAGTATTTGGCAATGCAATTTTGTCCTTAATATATTTAAATGGGTGGAATTTCACTCTTCTACTAAAGTATCTAGATTATAAACATATGTTTGCTCCCCGGCCAGATAATCATTTTATTTGCAAAAAATAATGACATTAAAAAAATTAATTAGCTATGAAAAAAAAAACTAATAATATTAATAGTGAACCAATGTTCGAATCCTTGCTGAGAGAGATGTATATTTTTAATGCCTGATAATATTTTAAGCAAGATTGTCTCTAATAATAAGATATCTTTACCTTGAAAATAAAAAAGTCCTTATTACCAAAAGGAGCATGATGCTATTCTTGCAGCCATTTATGAATTCATGATCAGACACTCAGTCAATTTTTAATGCAAAAACATTTTTTTAAAAAATTACGTTGAAATAAAGTATAGTTTTTAATTCCAGTTAAATGAAGCACTTGGTTGTGAGTCAAGAAGTCGGAAGGATTAATCTGATGCAAAATCATACAATAGGCAAGCAGGGTTAGCGTGTTGGCCAAAAAAAAAAAAGGTAAGAAGGGTTAGCGAAATTTGTTAACTTCTAAACATATCTTTAGTAATAGTATTAAATTACTGGGTTCACTTCATTTGATTAGTATTATTTCGAGTGTCAAGGCTTGTTAGGGATTATAATGTATAAGTATTTATATACAGCCTAGACAAACTCATTTTACTTCCTTATTTCATATTTCATAAATCACAATTAAAAAATTTATATAAAAAATTACTTATAAATGATTATAAACAAACCTAAAAACACGTTTGAAACATTACTACATCACTTGGAATTTCTTAAGACAATCAGTAACCCCGTTTTTGAGTCATTTCATACATCACCGGGATTATTGGGATCAACTTCCGAGAAACACAAGGTCATTCATTGGCGGTAAAAGCCATAAAACTATGCAAAGCCAGCGAATAAGCTTCTGGTTGAAAGAAAAGCATTGGCATTTTCTACTAGGAGGAAGGTTGGAATGTACAAGAAAATAAATTACAAGAGGGGGGGAAACAGTAACTATCTAATTTTTCCTATTTCCTGAATATAATCTATATGTAAATGTTACTGAATCAATCATTTTCTGTCACTAAGCTCCGCCATAAACCTAACAAACACCATCTCCAACCTCCTGCTTTGCTGTGCATGGTTTCTTTATCTACATCCTCCCTCGTGTGTGCGCTTCTCTCCTTCTTCGTCTCCTGCTTGAGCGGCCAAATAAGAATCTGCCACGGCCATGGCGATGGAGGCGGCTAGCCAGTGACAAACCAACACCTTCACTAAACCTATTATTGTCATCATCTTGATCAGAGAAATCCACCCTGCCAACAGAAGGTGCATGGAGAGCACTGGCCGGACTGGATACTCCTCCAGAAGCCAGCTCCGGCCCCAATTGTTGTCTACTGAAGTTAAGTTCATTCCCTTGCCGAACCGCATGAAATAGCAAAAAGAAATTCATTGCCTCTAAGTCCATGTGAAATCTGCCACTTCTTTCAGCAGAACCAACATTAGAATCCCCATCTTCATCTTCTGAAGTGAGATCATTATCATTTCCTTCAATGACATAATCTCCAAAAACCCTTGCCCCAGGCATGGCCGATGTTATTGTGCTGATAACATCTTCTCGCTCGCGCTCCCACTCGAGCAACTGCCATTTCTGTTCATGAGCAGGATCTACTGCACGCGGACGTGCTGAAGGATGATCTGCCCGGACATGCTTCTTCAACTCCTTGTAGTTCCCAACAAATGTGCAGTTATCCTGCATGCAGCTTCTTTTCTTTGCATTAAAGTACTCTCGTGCATGTTCCACAACTGTCCAACCTTTCACCTGACCTCTACAGAGAGGGCATGCCAGCTCTGTGATTTCACTCTTCTCGAGAGGCAAATTGGATGAGACCACTTTAGTATAAGCTTTCTTGTACTGCTCGAGGCAGTTTGAATGGCGAAGACTGGTTCCACACATATAGGGACGACAGCCCTTGTCATGAGAGGAGCAGAGTAGAAGTACTGCATTGTGCGGATATTCCATGCAGACAGAACATGTCACATTTTCCCAATCATTCTTATCCAAGTCAGTAGAGCACCTCTTTGAGCATAAAGCGTCACACATATCCTTTTTGCATGCAGGCAAAGGGTATGGTGTTGGCCGTAATTGACGGGAAGCAATTGTGTGTCGTCCCCTGCTTCCTCTTGCCATTTCCTTATTTACAGAAGTTGCAGAACCTGAAATTTTTAACGAAGAACAATGGTAAATAAATCCTGATTTTTTTATAATACTAAAATAAGGTTGTCAGATCAATAATTCTTTGGCTATTCGGATAAAGAAAGGAAGAGGTGGGGCACAACAAGTGCTTCTTGTTATATACTTCTGATGTAAATCGTGAAAGGATCAGCGACTCAATACGTGAATTATGAGAGGTTTTTGCCGGTAGTAAAAATATATTCACCAATGCAAGCACAACAACACCACAATGAAGGACTGTTAAAAAGTTTAGAATTAATTATCTCAATTCTCAAATTCGTGCTTCCCTTGGGGGCCAATCACATCAATAATTAACTAACTCAAGCATTCATCCAGTTCTGTTTCAGAATCACCAAGAAGAAAATTTGATCTGTCTTCCTGTGGTGAATCCAAACTTGGGAACTGAGCAAGTATATGCAAAGAAAGGAAGTTCATTTCCATAGAAGCAAAAAATGCGAAAGGAGGAAAAACACTATTCATCCCATATTCTACAAACATATGTGCACATTTTCTATGCTCAAACTCAAGCACCAATATGGCAAAAATTGTCAAAAATAAATGAGATCCCTTGCTAGAATTCATGCCTCTTCTCCGGATATGGAAACAGGCCCCATGCTGATGAAACTATGCTCTGACAAACACACCCAAGTTTCCAAGGAAATCCAAGTTAGGACACCTTTGATTTCGCTTTTTTTCTTTCTTGGGGGTAATCATGAACAAGTGCCCCAGCAACATGTGAGCGGCATGCAAACACAGAAACATGTCAATGGCAATAAGCAAGACAGTGGAAACAAAACACTACAGAATATGGTAAGAAAGCAAGAGGTGATCAGAAGTTTTATCTGTTTGTCCTTCTATCTACATATCTACCTAGTACCTACCAATAGCCTGTCTGTTTATCCTTCCACTCCTCCATTTTGACTTTCCTTCCATGTCAATAAAGTAGCAACAAAAAATGTCAAGGCATTATATCCCAATCACAATTGCCAAAGGAAATTCAATCTACTTGAGCCAAACAACAATTCCTAAAAGCATTCGCCATTGATCATGACAAAATAGTAGATGACTTCCACAGTCAACATAAAAGTCGTACATAAAGGTTCAATTTTTTAACCTTGTCTAGGCCACCCTCTCAAACATCGCAATCTTCAAATTGACCATTTTTTTTAGCATCACAAGAAGGGCAAAAGGAAAGTAGGCCAAAAAAACACTCAATAGTCTTCACTGGGGGAAAAAAGGTTGTCTTTGCAAAGACAATCTTACCAGCCTCGTTGTTGAAGAGTATTTGATTTCTGGAAGCAGCAAGTTATTTCAGCGACCAAACTGTATCTGGATTGAATAGTAATGCACAGAGTCTCACATATATATATATATATATATATATATATATATATATATTGATGAAAAGGAAGCAGCGTGCTAATGGGAAAAACTTGCAAGCAAAGACAAGAAGCCAGCCCAATAAAATATTAAGTAGAACATGGAGGTAGAGTATGAAGTACAAGTCGCTAACTTTACTTTATTTTAAATCCAATCATACAATAATAATTAAATACAAAATCCCAGAACGCAAAGTAATGCTTATCACAGTAAATCAAATGCCGTTTAAATAAAAAGGCACACATGCTTGACTGCCGAGAAAAACGCCAACATCTGATAAATGCACTTCAAGCTCATTCTACAACCGATTTTTGTAGAAACCCCACTTAGATGGATATGGATAAAGCATTTCCTCAATATGCCCTTAAATAAGCAAATAAAACAAAAAAGATAAAAAAAGAAAAACGCAAGATAAATGGGATATAATAACTAGTTCAGCATCAAAATTCGCTAGCCAGTAACCAAGAGAGACGCTACGAGAATCTTTCTGGGGGGGGGGAAGCAAGAAGAAAATTGAAGACGGAGATGATAAGGGACGGATCGTACTCGTACCAGGCAGATATGGAAGAGAAGAAGCGAAAACTGAAGATGGAGGAAAATCAAGCGAATTTGAAGCGAGGTTTTGAAGAGAGAGGAGATTCCTAGTACGAATTGAGAGGTGGGGCGATGGAATGGAGGGGTAGGCGTATAAGGGGGCGAGAAGGAGGATAGCGCTAAATCTCAGGTCCTTCTTGTTCAGTTGGCGGAAGTTGGGAGGGAAATGAAACGAACGAAATTTTCGACACCCGCGAGTTCGAGTCATTTCTATCTCTCTCTATCTAGCGAGTTCAAGAACACGCGCTAATAAGGGCAGTGCAACCACGCTCTAATGTAACTGGTTGCCGATTGATCCCCGTAACTACACACGTGACCTAACCGGACGGAAATGCGGAATTTCAGTACCCCATGGGCCGTCTAGTCGCGCTCGCATGATGCCATCCTTGCCTTAGAATGGAGAG